TAGCAGGTACCAGTTTTTATCATATAATTATTTTATAAAATACCTATATTTCTCTCTTTGAAAAAGTTCACTAGTGAAAATAACACATTCGACGTTTTTCTATATATTTGAAGTAAAAAACTAGGTATTTCACGACATAATTTGCTTGGCACGCATATGTCCTTTACGCATATACACACGTGCGTACTAGTGGCAAGGAAACATTCAATTTTTCGGGATTTGATGCCTTTTATATGCTCTCGATACCCCTCAAAACGTTGATAATCGCATTTCCAAGAGATATTATTTCAAAATTTCCTGTGAGGACTCCCAGATCCCCATTGATACTCCCGCCTTGATCGGCGGTCGTTAGCCCCCCATATCCAAAATATGTGTCGCAGTTCCTGACGTGTGCGTACTAGCAAAAGAGTCCACGCTACGAGCCTGGATAGAGATCTTTTCAACACTCGAAAATAAAATCCGTCTCCGCGCTYCCATGTAATATTATATCCTCTAGTGAACAATGTTGAAAGTTGTTCTATATATAATTACAAAGATTCTTACGTGGAAATTTCGCCATGCAAGATTTTTTTTTTTTTTTCAATCAACGACCCCCTCCCTAAAAATCTAATGGCTAGTCCCTTGGAAGGCTTAGAGACAGAATGAGTGTTAATATACTCCTTATTAGGTAATCGCTAGTCCCTTGTTTTCTTTGGTGTTAAATCTCTATTTGATTTTTGCACCTTGACTACTGAGTATTTTATATCAGAAAACAAACCTTGATTTACAGTAAGCAAATAGCGGCGTGTCAACTTAGCGTGAATCCATCTTTGCTATACTGCTGATTTTTTCCCATTTAACCGAAGAAGAACATTGGACATTGACAGACTATATTTGTAAACGGTAGGGGAGAAGCAAATATCTCGTGGTAACTTGAATATTTATTGTCCATTACGTATCGGAACAACAAGCGAAAAAAGGAGAATTAATCACCTATGAATTACTCAAATCATCGGATGTCAATGTCGTGACGCTTTGACTTAAAAAAGGTGAAGGTTCACGCTCACGCGATCGTCATGGCAACACTATTACGTCTGCAGTCAAAACATAGCATTTTTAAAACCCATGAGCTCTATAGAATTACAGTTTGAATACTTTTTGATCGTGCATAAAATTCCAGTATACAAAATACTTACTTTTTGATGTTCTTTTGTACCCACTTCAGCGCTTCCACCTGGTCTAACATTGCATAGTTTCCCTTTATATCGCCCCCTTTGCCATTAGTAAGAAACCCAAAGACGGTCAATCGATAGTTGATTACAACAACGATAACGTTTCCGAGCACAGCAAGGTAGCTTGGATCATATGGAACATTAGAACCKCYAACATACCCTCCCCCATGGAYCCAGACCATCACTGGTAGTAAAGAAGAAGAGTTTGCAGAGCTGTGCGGAACAAACACRTTTAGATTCAAGCAATCTTCGCTCATTGCACTGAAGTTCTTTGCCGMATRAGGATTGGGATACTGAGGGCAAACTTTGCCWGATGAGTTCATGATTTTGAGGTCGGTCCATTTCGAAGGGGCTTGAGGGGGYTCAAAGCGCTCTGCTTTAGCGTACGGTATCCCRAGGTATTTATCGACTTTGGCTCCACCGGTGTGGTTGAGTTCAACGATGAATCCTTTAAGTTTTCCGTATTCGATCTCTACTTCTGAAGTWAATTYRCTGGYTAGTGCGGGACTAGCAAATGCTGCTAGGATAAGTAGAAGACGCAACATGTCGAGCTCTGATCAACAAACTGTGCAGCGASTAGACAWAAGCTTATGACTGCCAGAAACGTGGTCTGATTGGACAAAAGACCGTGCACGTGGGCTTCCTGTGGCGATTTTAATCAAAGCGGAMAAYCCACCACCAATAGTACTGGAAAAGTGTAGTCGTTTTGAAATGAGATTTTTGGAAATAAATGACCTCTGTAAGTAAGAAAATTTACCATTTCATGTAGTCTGTTGTTGATGCATGCTAAGAGTTTTTTTTGTGATTTCCGAAGCCTTCAGTTGCCATATGATAACCGGCACAAGGCCACATGCTGTTTCAATACCGGCTAGCGCTTTTCATCCACTYGGTAGAATAAGGTATTTAAACAACTTTGAATTGCTTGAGACGCCTGTAAGGAAAGCATTCTTGGATCCCTAGGACCCTAGCTTTAGGTCATTACGCACAGCTGTTAGGGTAATACTTGCACTTTTTTAGATAAATCATGATTTGACCTTTCGATTCAGATGACTGAATTTCCATATCTTTTATGTCCTATTTCGTCTTGACTGCCCGACCATTTCACAGATTTCAAATATAGGCGGATCTTTGTTTACAAAAATTTTGCTAATTAGCATAAAGTTTAAATTAAAGAAAACTGTAAAATAAGTTTATAATGTAAAAGGGCTTACGAAAGTTTGAGGTCATTACATGGAATAGTTTATAAGATATCAGCGTTCAAAGATGCTGAGTGGCAAAAGCGCTAATTAGCTCATATAATCTCTCTAAAAATTGGAGTTTTTAAAACCGTTTTACGCAAAACGTATTTCATATGAGAAGCTCAAAATTGCGTGGAAAGCTTATTGTGCTATGTTGTTTCAATATTCAGTGCTGATTTACTGATAGTTAGGTTAAAACGTTATATCCTTATGCTAATGATATGTTAATGAACCGAAATGTAAACAAATTATTCGCCTATTCAAACGTCACTGAAGCAACAAATTTTAAGGTTCGGGGTACCTGTGTAATTCATTTTACCCACAATACCTTGTAGTAMCAAAATGGCTGCAAAATGGAGAAAATGTACCTGGATTTCAATTCATTTCTTGTCGCGTTTCCCTTAGTCGTTTACCGCACTGTTCAATGGAGGATGAAAGCATCAAAGAGGGCTTTATATGCCCTATGTGTATGAAAGAATTCAATGTACCAGCTCATCTTACAAAGCATTTTGAAGACGCTCATTCTGAAGACAAGGATGCTCTACGACAAATCCGCGGAATGTTTGATAAAGCAAAGCGCAAAATTCTCAAGAAACCAGAAACAGAAGAGTATAGTAATACARCTGGTTTGAACTATGATGAAAGCGATGGAGGACCTGGAATAGCTCGRGGGCTTGACCCTTTCTTGTGGGATTATTTAGAATTTGGTAGGTGCTCATTTTCTAGGGTTAATAASCTTATTTATGCTGAAGCTTAAACGAGGACTTGCGCGCTTCAATCCAGAGATACGCGGTTACTGTACTCTTAAGAAGGCTTTTTTCAAACGAGAATAAGTCTAGAGTTTAGGTCAAAACACCGCTATGTAAATTCGCACGTCTTTGTGTTTGTTTATGCTTGCAATTATACAGCACAAAGTAACATATTAAGCACATTAAACATTTAGAATGGAAATTTGCCCTTTTCTTGTGTCTTTTTTATGTTTATATCATTATTTAAAGTAGACAAATTAAAATGGACTAATTAGTCTATATGTCAGTAAGTTAGTTTATGAAATGACGTGTTAATTAGTTAGTTAATTACAGTTGATGTTTATTGGATTTTGGGTGTAAGTTTCGGCTGTTATTTTCATAGGAGCACACAGAAGTCACTTTCGACAGTTCAAGGAAAGAAGGGATGCTGAGATTGACAGATGTGTTGTTGAAACTAAYAAAATCTTAATCAGACTTGAAAAGGTATAGCAATCCTAAATATTCAAACAACAGAGTAGCTGAATTGAAAGTATTATGCTGTGATAGTTTCCTGTGGAAACTAGACGTCCCCAAAAGCAAATAGTTGCCTGAGAAYACAGTTTGAGAGCAACTATGAAATTTTGAGGAACATCCAGTCTCCAAGGGCAGCTATCACAGCAAAATGCCCAAGACTTTAACAGCTCTATGGTTTTTAATATTCAACAATAAATATTCTGAAGCAAAAGGTTCTGTGCGCTGTTAGTACCCCTCAGTTGCGGGCACTATGATATTTGACTCTCCACCAACGGCAGTGGGAGAACATTAATTGTTGAATTATAATATTTAATAAACTTTTTTGCTGTGCTTTAGATTTAGACATCAACACTACACTGATAAATAAAACAGCATTTTTTCGCAAAAAAAAAAACAACAACAGAAAACAAAAAAAAAAAATACTATCTATAAAAACTACTATACTACTATCCTTTCTTCAAAAATAAACAACATCAAATAAAAAAAAAACAGCGGTTTTTCATTGAAGTTACACAGAATCAGTTATGACCTAATTGAAAACTGTGATTTTGGCTAATAGTTCATAGATTTATGTGCATTRATTAATGTTTTTAGTTACTAAGATCTGGAGTCCATGTACCAGAGTCTCCATTGCGTGGTGTTGTAAACAGAAAATGTAAGTAGTTTTAGTGAAAGYTACATCAATTAATCAAGAATAATGAAATAATTAATGAATAATTAAACATTTTAAAAATCTTGTATAAAACTGAAGAAAAATTTATCAAATTYATTAATAATTCATAAGGTAAACACAATGGAAAATCATTGCCGTGACCGCATCTTTATATGAGCAAGAGATTTGTCCTGATTTGCATACGACTTTAAATTCGATTTTCTCTTACAAATGATATTTTATGCTGAAGTTTTTTTCGAAATATGCTTTACCTTATGTTGGAATTTGATAAGCAAAAAATATTCGCGTCTGACCTTTATGGGCTATAAAACTGCTCGCTTGCAGCTCGCAGTTTTAAATGCCCATAAAGGTCTCCCGCTCATATTTTATATTACATATAAGTAGCTAGTTTGCATAATATGATGTTTTCATAATGTTAATTAATATGCCACAGGTTAGATAAGAGTATGGCRTCTTTATCTAATAGTCTTGTAGCTCATTGTATTTGCTATTCTACCTAGGGGATGAAACAATTCTAATCAGATTAAACTGCTTTTGATGTCATAATGCAAGTTGTCAATTTCGCATGTAGTAGACTTTTTTCCTAAATGGTTGTCATATGTTTCAAGATCTTATTTGTGCAGTCTTAATAACCTCAAAAGCATGTAAATATATGCCTTTGTTGAGCAGAGAATCTATTGTAATGCAAAACACTCTGAGTTCAAAGAAGATAATAAAAAATTTTTCTTGATTGAAGCTAAGCTTTCACAAAAGAGAATTCGAAACTGGAGTATTAAAAGTACTTGATTGTTTATTTTTAAAGCCAAAGAAAAGAGTTTAGTTCCTTGGATAGCAGATAGCGAGGTCAAATTTTGTCCAATTTGCAAGAAGCAATTTAACTTAGCAAGAAGAAGGCACCACTGTCGTCTGTGTGGAGGAATAATGTGTGCCAAATGCTCTGATTACATCACAGTATCTTTTGCAGGTTTGTTATTATGTTAAATAAGGTACACATGAGAATATTGCAGCACAAATTAAGGAGTTTTAAAAAAAAAGGGGTATTTATAGCCTACACAATGGCCCCTTCCCCGCTATAGTGCATCAACAGTGCATCAGCAGTGTTCAGGCTGTGCCATTGTGGGATTCATGCATAAGAAAATGAAATGGCCCATAAATTTAAACTTAATGCGCCTTTAATGGCTCAAGAATTATCCAGAAATACTTCCTGATTGATTGCAAAGACATAGAGTACTTTTTAAAGCAATAAAAGTCTAATTACATTGTCAATAAACATGGTGAAAATGTACACAAAAGTCACAAAAAAATGACACAAACGCGAACATGGCCGCCATATTGGATTTCACTTGCTGAAGAGATCTGGCACTAATCTGTGTGTTAACTGACCTGTCCCTTTGACCCCCTGAAAGACAATTCTGGTCAGAACAAAAAGGTCTTGATTATATTGTGTCTTTTTGTACTGCTATTTCTCAGTTATATCTGCTGTATCACATTGAGCAGGGTTTTGAGTTGTACATGGAAGTACTGTATGTCCTATTATTGACACACTCTGACATCATAAAATGTTCAAAAACTCAGGGGGACAAGCAATAGCTAAATTAGTTAGGGTTTGCTATATCTTGGGAAAAGATGCTTGGAACTGCTGAAACTGGTTTGCTACTTGGTTGTTGCTACCTTATGCATGTCAAAGTAACATATTTAATTTGAATAAATGTTTTCAACAGTAACAATTCTAAAATTAGACAAGGCAAATGACATTCCACAAGGTAAACGAAGGTCACGTGACGATTCAGACGAAGCTGGCATCAGGTCTTGTCAAACGTGTGCTGATCTACTCTACAGGTGATATTTCAAACTTAACTAGTTAAAAAAGAAAAAAATGTCCTGAATTCAGATTTTTTTTAATTAGATCAGATGTTTTCGATGTTTTTTTCTCCCTTTTTAAGTTTCTGTTGCATTTGATGCAGTATCACATGTGATGTGGTTGGTTTATTGTATGTTAATAATAACATCTATTACTTCAAAGGCATGAAAGACAAGAGAAAGAAAAACAAAGCAAACCRGCCATTGTTCAGCTGTATCACAAGATGAAAGAATGCATGGCTGAAGCCGAGAAGCTGGCTCCTATGTACATCAAAATGGCCGAGTCTCTAAAGTACATAAATACATAACTCTTTATTATTGACTTTAAAAATAACCATTTAATGCTTAAGAAGCGAATCAAGTGCATATAGGAAACTCCTTAATCCGGCCTGCGAGGAACACACAATGGTAGCCGTATTTGAGGGGGTTGCCGTATTAACCGAGTACAAAAGTATGGGAGTTGAATACTCCAATTTCGAGATCTTGTTTGTGCAGCCTTAACCTCGAAAGCATGAAATATATTCTTTTATTCAGCAGAGATCCTATTGTAATGCAAACACTCTGTGTACAAAGAAGACAATAAAAATTCATGCTTGATTGAAGCTAACCTTGCACAAAAAGGAATTCGAAACTGGAGTATTATCCAGGATCTAAAGATTTGGCCGTTGTGACGTGGTGGCCGTATTAAGCGTGAGGCCGTACGGCGGGGTTTCATCTTAGCATTTCCTTGTACTGTCCTTTCATCTGATGACATCATCATAATTTTGRCGAAATGCATCATGGTATTAATGAAATGATCAAGATGTTATTGTTTTACAAAAAGTACAGCTTTGTTTTATTGAATGTTATCTACAAAAGCCTTTAATAAGATGGCTGCACATTATAGAGGATGGTTCAAGATTATCCAGAGAAATGTGTACTTCCTTCTTCCAAAGCAACCCGAAACATAACATGGCTTTCGTTTGTTCTTTCGTCATTCCCATAATGCATCTTACCGGAAATAACATGGCGTCATAAGGGAAATGATGCAGTTTGTTCACCAAGTATTTTATTGAATTTTTGCAGTCTTGGTGATATACAGTATGATTTAACTGAAGCATCGGCGATAAGAACCAAGCTGATTAAAAGATACGAGACGGTCGATTTAATAAGGTAAGATGGGATGGTAAGATATGTACCATTATCGCTTTGCACACTTTCTTTTATAATGTAGTTAAGTCCCAATAGTTTTATTAACCACCAAAGGATTGAAAATCCGAATACTCCAGTTTCCAGATCTTATTTGTGCAGCCTTAACCTCGAAAGCAAGTAATATATTTTTTTATTCAGCAGAGAATCAATTGTAATGCAAACACTCACAAATTAGACAAAACACGTACAAATAAGACACTTAAAGTTTATTCTTAATTGAAGCTAAGCTTGCACAAAAGAAAATGCGAAACTAGAGTATTACAGCGAAAATACACTAGACATTTTGGATCCGGTTGCACAAAGGGTGTGTAACGTTATCTACCGGTTAAAGTGATCTAATCCATAGATTTGCGTTATGGATTTTTTCTCTTGGTAAAGCGTCARTTATTATATGTGTCAGCTATTTACTCTAGCAATAAACAACACATTTYCGTGCGTTCCTGCTGAAATAAACAACGCGGGATGTTGGGAGAACACGAAAAAGGCGTAAAACATTTTCAGCCGTTTGAGTGTTTTCCCAATATAATATCCCAAGTGGTGTATTTCACCAGAAACGCACGAAAATGTGTTGCTTATTGCTTTCATTATAGCATTTTGGCATCCGTGACATTTGACCAATCAGAGAGCGCGTACTATGATAGCTATAATATAAAACATTCAAAATAACTCTMTTTATGTTTCAGCAAGAAGATTGGAGCACTGGGTAAGGACGACGAAAATCCACCGAGTTCTCAGTTCTTGAAGCTACAAAGAGGCATGCGTGTCTTYGCTGTGGGCTACTTACAGGAAAATATGTTCACACTACCAAATCTACCAGATAGAGACAAAGTTTTGAAGTTACAAAAAGAAAGAGCCGAATATCTAGCTGCTAAAGCTGCTGAAGAAAAAGCTGAACGGGAAAGAGCAATGAAAAAGAGACTAGAATCATCAAAATTACAAACTTTGTCWCCAGAAACCCGGCATGCATCTGTTGACACTCAAAACAGTCAGCTGATTGGCTCWGATTCAGCTGTCGCTGGAGGCTGGGGACCAGTAGCGGTTAATCAATCTGACTCGTCCACAGACCCCATGATCGAGCAGATACAGATTATTAAAAATTATATAAAACAAGCAAAACAAGAGAATCGAATGGAAGAGGTACAAACACTAGAAAGGAATTTGTTAGAGCTACAAAGCGAATATATGAAAAGTCAACGCAGGTATTAGGTTCGTAGGACGTCCAATTTCACATGTAACCGGCGATGAAATTTGCTCTCATTAGCATTGAATTATTCTACACATGTGAGATTTAGCGTACGAACGAGTCTTTGTTACTGTGGCTGGTCCAGGTAAGATAGTTCCATGTATATTTTGTAGTTACTTTTACTGAAACAATCAGTTATAATCCTAAAAAAACGGATTATCTAAGTTCAGTGTAAACTACGAGATATTTCATTTCAAATATCAATACTCTTTCTAAAGTCTTAAACTTTACTCCATTTTTTTTAGATATAATGTTGTTGTTTTTTTTATGGGAATCAAAACAAATATAGGGTTACAATGTTARAAATTACAAATAGTAAAATAAATAAATGATTTCGTACGAATGGAATTGAGCTGCATACGATATTCTGCGTAAAGAAACCCTTCACACTGAATAGCTAGCTATACGTAGGAGAAGATGGTGGCAAATGATATCAAATGAAGTACAGCTTAACTGTGACAATTATCTTGGACACGGACACACTTAGGGGAGGTGAAACACGTGGGCGGAAACGCTGCATTTATAACAATCAGGGTTGGGTTAGGACGACAATGCGGCGGCAAGTTGAGAATCGCAACAATGACCGCAGCAAGAGAAAGGGCGAAGTAGAGAAATTAGATAATGGCAAGAGAGACAACTGGGGAAGAGTCATGGAAGCGATGTTTTATGGCTTGAAGATGACGATGTTGGCACAGTCGTAGCTTCTTTCAAACTTTTCAACAAGAACATCTCTCGCATCATTTCACCTTTGAAAACCTTTCCTAGTCATCCATGGTTGACCAAAGTCATTAAAATGCTTTCTGCAATGGAATTAAAAGTCAGTAGATTTTTACGCTTCTTGTTTTGCAGAAATATTCTTCAGCAACACATACCGCAGATATTTCAGTGCTTAAAAGCAGCAAAGATCAAGTGTATTTTCGGTGTTGATCRAATCACCATGAGCAAGTGAATCTGTACTACGCTGAGCCTCAAGTACTAGCAAACGTTTCCTTGGTTACGTCGAATAAGAGTCTGCGTACATCCGGTTTATTTTCAAAATTTTCAAATTTTCAAAAGCKTGTTTACGAGTAAACGCTGGATGAACTCAGATTAGTCGAATACGTACGCAACATGGTTTCCTAACTGTTTATATTATTTGTTTTTGAAAAGGAAGCAAAGAAGCCTAGCTCTCAAAAGGTTAATTTTCTTGAGGTCGAAGTACGTTGCTTACCTGTTTCTTATTGACATTGATAAAGAATAGCGGAAATACTTCAAATCAAAATTTCAAAATAATTGCGTTGAACATTCGGAAAATCACATGGATCTTGAATGTTTTCGTAGTCATTTCTCTTTGATATTGAAAAGTTATTCTCAAAGAATAAACCCTAGATGCTTGTAATTGATTTTGTTATCTGTGCGAGCCCTTTGCATTGTGGGCCTTGCACATTTGTTATGATCACCGGGAGCATTCCTTCGCATTGGTATAAGAACTTGTTTACAGTTTGAGCTATAATCAATTTTAAAATAGATTTTATAAACATTTTTGTATCCTCCGTCATGTCTTCGATAAGGTGCATTCGATAACCCCTGAAAAGAAACTTTTTCCATTTAGTTAATTTTCAGTCAATTTTCTTGCTCATTTTTCCTYTTAGTTCGTTCTTAAACAATCCATGTCTCTGTGGTGGTGSTGGTTAGATTCGCGACCTGAGACAATCTGTCTCAAGTCCAGGTCAATAGTACCCTGGGTTCCMAAGCCTGGATTTACTTTTTCTTATGGCTTATTAACAACGCGAGGCGCCGTTTTTGAGGCCGTATGGCCGAGACTGGACTTACTCTTTCTTGGGGTATATTTACGACCTCAAAAACGGCACTTCGCGCAGTATATTAACCAAACGAAAGATTAAATCCAGCATTTGGGACTCAGGGTGGGTCAATTGTCTTATTTGAATTCATGTTTTATCGGCCAAGTTCGTGGTCTTGGTCATGACTCTCAACCAAATATACTGATATAAAATTACCTTCTACGGAATTCTGAGACGAGTGTAAATTTCTGAAGCATTTTTAGGCATTATACAAGCAAATCAGACGTTTTTAACAAATAATAGATATTGTTTTATGGAACTGTGTATATTTTTTTTCTAAAGAATGAGTTCTATGGTTGTAGGAGTCAAAAAGAAATAAGTCGAAATCAGATTGACTCCTGCGAGAGTAATTTTATCAAAAAAGGAGCATGTTCCTCTTGACTTAGGTAAAGTTGAAGTCCCAATTYTTTAGTTATATGCATAAAAACTGATCGRACGTATATTGGRAAATAAAGCGACGCCAACTCAGCAAGATYCAGAAATTAGACTAAACTTTTTTCGTTATTTGTGTTAACTTACGTTATGGAATAAAAGTGGAATTAGACAGTCAAACATGGTTTACATTTTACAAATATGCAAGCATTTCTGGTTTCTCTTTCTTTATTTTATTCATCTCTTTTGAAGTAAA